TCTTAGCCCTCAAAAGAGGAGAATGTCAGGTAAGTTTATCAACTTGATTGATAAACTTCTTGAGAAAACAAGTTTCATTGCGCTGATCAATTAAATCTTGATCATGTGTAGAGTTAGACTGTTCTGCAAGCAAACAAGAGCAAATCAAGAGATGATGTCACTGACGTCATGAGTGTAAACACAAATGATGATCATGATCAATCATTGAGGTCTAGGTGAGTCTTCATTGATTTGATCAAAAGAGAGAGGAATTGAATAAAAAAGAACAAAGTTCCTTTGATCTCAAAACATCATCGTCACTTTGTTTAGTTCATGTTGAAATTCTGTCGTCTCCAGTTTTCCTTTTCATCCCTGTCACTCATTTCATTCCTTTTTCCATGCATATTCATCTCACCTTTGTCCCACAACCTGTCCCTCATTGTTGTAATAGCTTAAGTACACTGCTTGGATAAGAGAAATTTGATCATCAGTTTTCTGCGCCTGTTCCCTGAGACCACTCATTCAGTCTCTTGTAGTGAGGTCGCTTTTCCGACACACAAGCTAGCAGCCTTAGCCCTCTTTGAAGGCTCTAAGACCTTTGTTTTTCCCCTCAGAGCTTTTCCTCGAGGTTTCTTCATCATCCGGTCTCTTCCCCTTCTCTCCGGCTAAAAATCCTGAGTTTCTTCAGTTCATACTTGCACAAACCGAAATCAAACAATCTCATCAATCATGTATTTCCACCAATAAGCGGTAAGCAAGAAGTTAAAGCTTCTTGGGCCTTTTTCTTTTGGTAAGAAAAAAGAGAAAACTGAATAACCAAATAATTGTTCTTATTGATGAACATGCATTAGACTCATTGAACAAATAACATTACACCACAAGCTTTGACCCACCGCAGGGCAACATTAAAATTCACGTGGAGCCAACCTCCCCGCTCCCGCCCAGCTGTTTTGGTTGACTTTGAGAGTGTTGAGTTTATGTATTTGAGGAGCGAGTGAGTTGCGGGAGGTAAAACAGTGCCTCCAGGGCTTGAACCTGTGTCTTCACATTGGGTCACAAGTACCTACCCCACCCAACACCTCAAGGCTTAATCATTGGACTTCTGGGCTACCACCAGGCCATATCACATTGGTTGGCTGGCCGTTCTTGAAGAATTCAAATCAATCAATCTCAAGTTTGTCAAGATGCTTGAGTTTTTTTTTTTTGTAGATCCCCATCTCTGTAGCCTTTTGTCTATGTGGAAGGATGCCAGCATGCTTCTTTGGAAAGTGTGATTTGCTAAGAAATTGTTGGTTGGCTTGGTGGGGGCTGAACTTGTTGACAGCATCGGGCAAACCATCAGTGCCAAACTTTGTTGGTTGAGTCATCAATGCCCCACCAATGTTTCACAAAGCATGTCAACAAAACATGTTAGCAGAGTTGGGCAAACCAATATATCGGGTGGGTTGAGCCAACATAGGCCTGTCCAATCCCCCACGACACCCCACCTGAGGCTTGAGTTGTGAAACTCAGGGTAGACAGGTCAGTGCCAACCTGTCCGCGAATTTGCAGTGAAGCCAATGAGGTTGAATAAAAAATATTGACTCATGGTGTTCTCAGGTTATTATCAGTAAAAGAATCATATTCTTTATTTATAAAGTTAAGTATTTCTCCTTTACTTTGACACTTGAAAATAACATGAAGATAAGTAATAAAGGTAGCTAACAGTTTAATGCATCTTCTGTTAGACTTATTTAGTTATCTTTATACTCTAAAAACTAAAATAGCTTAGCCAAATTTATCTCTTCATTGTTATCCAAGTATTATTATCAGAATTAGAAGATTAGTTCTGCCTTCAGGTATTTCTTTTATTTCTTTTACAGCCAAACCGAGAAAGCTTGCGTCTCAGTTGGCAGAAGATCCAGAAAAAAAGAAATCCCAACTGCAGTCGGAATCTTTGAAAGAATACAGCCATCGTACAGGTTCCAACATACCTGCCAGTAGCACCAACAGGACCGCACCGGACCCAACCAGCCAGCCCTAGGGGGGGGGGGCAGGGGCATGGGTGGCTTGCATGTCAATGGGCCGGTTTGCCTAAACTTTCCCTCAGGATCCCGGTGGTCTTACTCTCATGACCTGGAACTGAGGGAGAAAAAAGATAGGGATTTTACCCTGAAGTAACCCTGTATGCAAATGGGCATACAGGGTGCTGTATTCTTCCAAAAATTCCAACTGCAGTCGTCTTTTTTTTTTTTTTTTTTTTTTTTTTTTTGAATCTTCTGCCAACCAAGACGCAAGCTTTCTCGGTTTGGCTGTAAATATGTTTGTATCTAAAAATCAACTATTGTATTTTGTTAAAAGAACAAATACTCATAAAGAAATGAATGCTTCAGTTCCAAATTCTTTCAAGCTTGGGAGATCTGATCAAGAGGTCCTCCAGTGGATGACTTCCTGATTCCAAGGCCTGGCCACAAACATATCTGGATTCAGCCAAACCGTATAATCATCTGGTGGAAAATAGTTGGAGATTTTTTAAGTTTGGAAGATAGGCTTAGGATGTATGCATGCAGATGGAATATATGAAACAAACTCTGTGTATTTGAGTACATAGGAGTCTACAATAATTCTGAAATGTTGGATTTTTAGATTCAAGAGGATTCTATGTACTGCTTGGCACACTCCTGCAAGATCTCGGCACATAATACTCAGAAGATCTGTGAGGTGGGGGCGTCATTGGTGGTGGACAGATGGGTTGAGATGATGGGGGCAAGTTCCAACTCTGCCATTATCCTCGAAATTCTTCCGAAATCCCCAGACGTGGACTTGTCAGATATGTGACTGATTTGATTGGCACAACAGGTCAGAACGATCGAAACACCGTTGTACACCACCAGAGCAGTTTAAGCTGCTCCGGGCTATCCACCCGACGTCAAAGCTTTGACCGAGGGCGCGGTCACCTTGTCGCGGGTTTGACGCTCCTCGCACCGTTGGGATGACTCTGTGGTCAGGATCCCGTCATGGTGACAGGTGGCTTGCCCTGCCGGTCATCCCGCCGGGTCGCCTTTGCTCAATGGTCATCCCGCCGTGGCTCTGTCGGTCGGGGTTGATTCTCTCGTCGGACCGCTGGCTTTCATGTCGCCGGTTTGACTGTCCCGTCAGATTGCCGGTGTTACGCAGTCGGCTCTGACTGGCCCGTCAGACTGCCGCTTGTCTTGCAGTCGGCTCTGACTTGGCCGTCAGACTGCCGACTTTCATGCAGTCGGCTCTGACTTGGCCGTCAGACTGCCGACTTTCATGCAGTCGGCTCTGACTTGGCCGTCAGACTGCCGACTTTCATGCAGTCGGCTCTGACTTGGCCGTCAGACTGCCGAATGTCATGCAGTCGGAGTTGACTTGCCTGTCAGGCCATGATTATGGATATTGTCGAAGTTCCTTTCAGGATGCGATCAGTCAGGATGACCGGTGTGCAACTGCCGCGCTGACGTCAAAGCTACAGTTTAAAAATGAATTCTTGACTCTATCAGAGCTAACCTTTTCAGGCAAAAGCTCGAGAAAAGTTGGTCTTGAAACAAAAAAAAAATTCAAGAATTAAAATGACTTAGAGAAAAAAAAATTGCCAGAGAGCTAGGATGGGGTATTATGTGTTAGAAATCAGCAGGATAAATCAAGTAGTACATGGTGGCACAACGCGCAATCGGCCCAAGAAAGCAGACTTTCTTGGCGCACAAGAATTCAGTACACATGTAGCTTTTCATGTCCCAGGTTTCTTTGGCTGATTTTTTCAATTTCTTTGGCTGATTTTTTTCGTTTTTCTTTGGCTTTTATTTTCTTTGGCTGATTTTTTTTTCTTTGGCTGATTTCTTTTTCTTGGGCTGATTTATTTTTCTTGGGCTGATCTCCTTATTCTTGGGCTGATTTCTTTTTCTTTGGCAGATTTTATTTTCTTTGGCAGATTTTTTTCTTTGGCTGTTATCATTTTTTTTTTTGCCTGATTTTTTTTTTCTTTGGCCAAGTTTTTTTTTTTTTTGGTTCCTTTTCTTGTCCTATTGCTTGAATGAAGTTGCCAAAGATGTCAGTGGGAATGGGCCCACCAGCACACATCCTATCAATCAAAAAAATCAAACTACAATGATTCTAACATCTCAAGCCAACATTGTTACAAGTTGTCAACAAGTTCTGAGAGTCATAGACCTTTCCAACCTAATCAGTCTGTTCAAATGTTGCACAGAAAGTGAATGGTATCAGGTCACTGAATTTGGCCTGTCTGAGATCACCAAGAAAGTGCAAGACACCCTGGATGCCTGCAGGCCAAAATCAGATAGGCATCCAACCAAGTCACTGAGTGTAAGGATTGTGTATCAATCCTTCACTGTATGTTGGAAAGGCACTAGCAAGGAGCTCAATAGCTCCAGCGGGGACATTTCTAGTACCGGAGTGGATTGAATTTGAGTTCAGACAGGAGTGTAAGCCTGTGAGGAGCAGGGCTTACACTGAGACAATCACAACAGATGATATTTTGTTGAACATGGAGAAGGAAAGAGAACAAGCTTGTTAGAGAATACAGCTTTAGTAAAGGTTCATTGGGATGGGAAGTAAATGTGAATAATACAAGTTCTTCTAATCAGGTTGAGATGTACTTCCATTGTAATTATTGTGAGCTAGAAAATTATAAGACAACAGCAAAAGATGTATTCAATTCATCTTTCTCATGAGGAGCTTATCAAGGATGAACCCATGCAGTTTGAGGAGTTCATCTTGAAGGAATTCAGAAATTGTGGTACTTTTCACAAATTTTGTATTATTTACAAGCAGACACCCCTATGCAGCAAAATTGTACAGCCTTAATGGCAAAAATATTCACTGAGTTTCAGATTAAATACGGTGTCAGGGATGTTGGCCACAAACAACAGCTTGGGAATTGCCACTATACCACATTGAAAAAAACCATACTGTAAAGAAAGTCAAGTTTTCTAGGAAACAGCTGTCAAACTGTCAGCAAGTGGAATTTCAAAAGGTGCCACTGAGTTTTGAGTGAAATACACATGCTGGGGTGGCTGGTCATCAAGGGAAGCTTGGTAATTCCCCCTATTTCACGGTTGAATACATTCCATGCTTCAAAAAAAACAAGTTTGAAATGATGGTATACTAGGAAACAGCTTTCACATTTCCACAAAATGTAAAATTTACCAGTGTCTCCACATCTTTCATCCTCCAAGGGGAAAGGTGCAGGTTTTTTATCAGTGAAGTGAAAAGGTCAGTGTAGAAATTTCCTGCTAGCTGCTAGCAAGGGTAAGTTCCAGATTGCTCCTTTTTAGGGAAAAAGCTGTCTAACTGCCATCAAGTACAACTTGAAGGATTTCAATTGTCTCCACATAAATTATTGCACAACATTTCAATTTGTGCATGGCTTGTACATAATCTTAAATTTGTGAAAAGTAGCTCAATTTCTGGATTCCTTCCAGATGAACTCCTCAAACTGCATGAGTTCAGAAAACAGTTCATCCTTGATAAGCTCCTCATGAGAAAGATGAATTGAGAAAATCTTTTGCTGCTGTCTTATAATTTTCTAGCTCAAAATCATTACATTGGAAGTACAGTGGGTGGACCAATTTTTTTGGCTGCTTGTTTTGGATCCCAGAGCTTCAAAGAACCAGATTGAAGTCATGAGACATGGTCCAGTGGTTCAGATTAAGTCCCAAAAAATGAATGAATATGAATAATGATAAAAAAAAGTTTCAAAATTTGTGAAAAATTAAAATTAAAATAGATTTTTTCAAAAGATTCAATATTCATTTTGGGAAAGTGTGGGTACTGAACAAAAGAAAGAATGGAAACTGGGAAGAATGATTATAAATGAAAATTCTGGAAAAAAATGGTTACAATGTTTTCAAACAACTGTTGAGGGGGAAATTCACCAGCACAGATTGTGGTAAAGCACTAGAGTTTACTGTTTTGACTAGAGATTGTTCTGTGGTACCTGTTGATAGGTACCTAGTACCGCTTGGCTGTTATAACCGCTTAGGTCTCTTATGTCACCAGGAGTTGATGGGTAAAGGTCACACTATAGCCAAGGGGGCCAGTGGAAATAAGCCTCACCTTGACACTTATAAAGTGGAGGGGCTAGCTCCTTATAATTATAAGGGACAACAGTGGAATGAGCTTCACTGAGCCTGAGCTGAGGGATTAGGATAGTAATAGAGAGTAACTAGTCTGTAAGTAATTACTTACCTCTTATAGACTAGTTCTGAGAATTAAGGAAGTTGTACAACTAATGTAATAGACTATTGTAAAAACCCCACTCACTATTTATTATGATGTAATATTTAGTAAGGTTCTTGGGTTTGTATGGTAATAATTGTCTGGGGGATGAATCTCAGGGGAAGAGTCATCCTCTTAAATATTACAGAGCAGGGGTCAAACTGCTGCTGGGACCGGTGCATTCCCCTTATTAGTGCACTATTCCTTGGGGAAAGTGTCAGGATATTCAGAGCATGTTGAATGTACATGTGCTGAATATCTTTTATTTCAGAAAATGCACCTAAGAGAGATAAACAGAATATATATTCACACAAGAGAGATAACCAGGATAATCATCTCTTGGATGCACCCACAATATAATTATCATTTTCAACTTGAATATTATTTTCATGAAAGAGGTAAATTGAAAAAGAGGTAACTCTTTATTAATTTACACAATATTTATTAACATAAATAATGATACATGTAAAAAAGAATAACATTACTGTATAATTATTAACTTAAATATTACATACAATAATATTTGTTATGTAACCCAAGGGGGTTACATTCTATTGTAGACACCTGGGCTATTTTCTCAGTGTCTGACAGCCCACACCCGCTGGGCACCTGCCAGAAGGTGCCAGGTGCCAGTTTTATTGGCCAAAAAAGGGGTAGTACCCGTGTACCGCCCATTCCCACCCACCAAGAATTGTCAAAGGTTCTCATTGGGATGGTTTTCTCCCAACAAATGGCTCTAAATCTAGCGTGTGGGCAGGACACCCTCCCGATGAGCTGGATTGTGTACCAGCTCATTGGGAGGGAAACCTCTTGATGAGCTGGTGCGTAGTTCAGCTCATTGGGTACCCTTCCCCCCTCAACACAACCTTCCCAACAAAAACTTACTTGAACCACCTTACAGTGCTCCAATCAGCCTTAACTCTGGTCAGACCCTTTATATGACATTTAGCCCTCAGTATAGTCATCACTGCAGTTGGCCAATTATAACCTACGTCATTTGATTGTTACAAGTTATTCAGACTAGCAACCTAATTGCCAAAAATGAAATTGTGATTGATTGTAGGTGCTCTGACCACTTTTGCTTATCTTTGTGAGTGATTGAGTCCTGATCTAATTGGTTTCTGTGCAAGTCAACATTGAGAAAACTAATTCCCACTCCTTTTGTATGAAATCTTCCCTTTCAGTTGAAGATTTGAGTGCCACACCAGTCTATATTGGTGGAGGAGGCTATGTACCTAATGGCAAAATAAAGGCGCTTCAGAACAGTGTGGGAAAAACGATCCGCCTGAAACCAAAGAAACCGCTGCCATCTTATACAACCAAGTTCTACAGGGATTGTCAAGCTTTAGTGAAATGTTCAATCAAATCCCTGGGATCATCTTACATACCCGTCATCTTGTGACCCTTTTTTCTTTGTGGATTGCACTCATCACTACCCACTTCCTCCATCAAAATTTCTAGACAGATTTTATTTCCTTACTTGAATCTCTAAAATCTATCATGAATTGTTATCCTTCCTAAAAAACTCCTGTGGTATTGAAATTATTAACAATATTTCTCATATTAAACTTCATCACTCTTCCTATCAACTTGAATGAGGAATTACCAGCTCATTGGGAGGGTTTCCTCCCAATGAGCTGGTACACAATCCAGCCCACTGGGAGGAAACCCTCCTGATGGCCAGCTCATCAAGAGGTTTTCCTCCCAATGAGCTGGTTTTAAATCCAGCTCATTGGGAGGGTATCCTCCAGATGAGAACAGCCCTTCTGTTCCCACCTGCCAACTTCTTGGCAAGTGTTAACGTGACGTGCAGGCCAACACACCATCCATTTTTGGTGTGTTTGCCGGCACACCCTTTTTTAGGGAGGTGCCCGCCTAGAAAAGGGTGTGCAGGCCCACACATCAAAAGATGATGGTGTCACACCCACACACCAATTTTGGTTTGTTGTGTGGGCAACAGTAATTGTGAAAAAAAATGAAAAAAAAACTCACCTGGGACTCTGGGAGTGAACACTGAAAAGAATAGATATCAATAAAAGTGACCAAAAAATGAAAAAAAGAGACTTGGGACTGTGGGAGAGAAAACAATAAAATGAAAAAAATGACTTTGGACTCTGGGAGTGAAACTAGGTGAGAAAGAGAGAGGGGAGGTACCTGTGGTACCCGCCAAAAGTACTGCCGGTACCCGCCAGGAGGTGCCAGGTGTGGTACTGGGTACCTGTTTCCTGAAAGAATTCAACAGGTACCCAAGTACAAACAAACAATCTCTAGTTTTGACTCCTGTCTGAACAACCAACCTGGCTCAACCTTTTTTGGTTACAATTTTTTTTCATTTATAATCATTTTTTAGGCTCCACTCTTTCTTTCTCTCAGCACTCCCACTTCCCCAAAATGAATATCAACGCTTTGGGAAAAAAACAATTTTATTGTTTTATTTTTCACAAATTTTGAAATCAAATATAACCAAATCCTCCATTATTTAATTGACTGGTTTGAAAAAATCCGCCCTTTTTTAAACATTTTGGTTATCCATTTAACCCCTTTTGGGGCCCGTTTATGCAAAAAAAAGTGTTTGGAAAAGTGACTGGTTTCTGATGGTGGATTTCCTATATTTGATACCCCCTACTTTATATTTTATTCTTATTTTTTCATATTCATTCTTTTGGCCCTACTCTGCACCACATGCACAAGTCTTGTGAATTCAAGCTTGTTCTTTGAAGATCTGGAATCCAAAACAAGCAGCCAAAAATAACAGGGCACCCACTACACATCTCAACCTGATTCGAAGAACTTTTATTATTGGAGGACTTCCCGTCATCTCAATTTGTAAATTTAGAAAGAAGGGCTAAACATTATTGGCTGGTGAAAATTGTTTGACCTCGAGATTTCACCAGCAAAAAAAGTTTAGCTGGTCCGTCTAAATTAAGCCATCTGGTTGACGGGAAGTCTTCCATTCACATTTACTTCCCATTCCAATAAGCCTTTAGACAAGCTATATTTTCTAACAAGCTTGTTCTGTCTCCTTCTCCATGTTCAAAAAAATATCATCTCTTGTGATTGTCTCAGTGACTTGGTTGGATGCCTATATGATTTCAGCCTGCAGGCATCCAGGGTGTCTTGCACTTTCCCAGTGAGCTCAGACAGGCCAAACTCAGTGACCAGACCCTGTTCACTTTTTGTGCAAAGTTTGAACAGACTGATTGGCTTGGACAGTTCTATGACTCTCAGACCTTGTTGACAACTTGTACCAATGTTGGATTGAGATGTTAGAATCATTGTAGTTTGATTTTTTTTTTTGATTGATCAGATGTGTGCCGGTGGGCCCATTCCCACTGACATCTTTGGCAACTTCATTCACGCAATAAGGAAAAGAAAAGGAACCAACAAAATAAACTCAGCCAAAGAAAAAAAAAACTTGGCCGAAGAAAAAAAAATCAGCCAACAAAAATGATAACAGCCAAAGAAAAAAATCTGCCAAAGAAAATAAAATCTGCCAAAGAAAAAGAAATCAGCCCAAGAATAAGGAGATCAGCCCAAGAAAAAGAAATCATCCCAAGAAAAAGAAATCAGCCAAAGAAAAAAAAATCAGCCAAAGAAACTAAAAGCCAAAGAAAAACAAAAAAAATCAGCCAAGGAAATTGAAAAAATCAGCCAAAGAAACCTGGGACATGAAAAGCTACATGTGTGCTGAATTCTTGCGCGCCAAGAAAGTCTGCTTTCTTGGGCCGATTGCGCGTTGTGTGGAGCGGTGAGAAGAACCATCTGATGGCGGGATGCCCCGGTTCGAGTCTTCTAGGAAGACAGTCTTTTTGATGGATCGAGTGGCCGAGACTCCGAGTCCGGTCCGGACTCCATTTTTTTTTTCTCACGGCATGAGAATCCTGACCGCCTCAGGCCAGCAGCCCGACCGAATCACCCCAGAATCCATAATCTCAGGGTCTTTCAGCACCCTGAGACAATGTACTGGCGTCAGCGCGCTGACGGCCGACCGCTTGCCCGCCGGGCAGATATGCGTCGGTGCGTTGACCACCCCGACCCCATGGCTGCAAATCTGACTAACTGACGTCGGATTTCAGCAAGGTTTAGCAGGGTCGGGGCTGGTCGGTTTGCCCGGCAAACACCTCGCCGGGGTGCGGTCGAGCTGCAGTGGTGGTGTACATATTTAAGTAGACTTGGCGACTGTGTGTTAAGCTCAGAAAAGCGCCCACGAGTTCCGAGCAGGCAATTTTTTTTAACAAACGTGGGAACCTCGTGGTCGAAAAGGGATTGTGGGTGGAGACGAGCTGAGAATTGTGTTATAATCTGATGGGTTATCGATTCATTAAGTTCATGAACATAAGCTGATTGAGCCTGAAGTTTTTAGGAACTGACTTGAGTTGCTAGCAGACCTCAACAACCTCGATTGCGCCGCCAGTCCACCACGCCAGCGTGGATCCCGATTTCTTTCTTCACTCTTTCGAGCCAACATGGGCATGGAGAGAGAGCAGATCTTCATTGATCCATTCAAAGGGTGAGTCGTCTTCTTTCCATCGTGTACTTAAACTTCAACGCGCTCCGGGGGATTAACACCGCTGACATCTTCTCTGCCGAACCCCCCCTCCTGTGCAGTCCTTCCGCCGTTCTGTTCATCAAAGCCTTCACCCTTTGGAGCATATACCCTGAAGTATGTAGAAGATTCTCCACGAACACCTGTGCCCTCCCCGCTTAACCGCCATTGTGAATTCGTTTTCCTCGACCCCTTCGTGAACAGATTATCTTCTTAACCGGCTGGACTACCTTACTAGTCCTTTTAGATGAGCATGTTTCTGCGTTGTCTTTGAAGCTCGTGAGTGGATTTATTTTGACGAGCTTGAGTCGGTCACAGTGGATCTCAGAATTAATTTTTGACTGATTTCACCCTTTTCTCCACCGGCGAACATCATTACTAGCCTCCAACAATCTTGACGGTTCTGGGTGAGCTTCATCTTCCCGTGTCTAATCACAGACCACGTGATGCTAAAAAAATCTTCCTTTCTCAATACAGGGACGGTGATTGGCTTCGTGCTTTCCTATCGGACATCGAGTAACTGCTCTCCGTGTTGAATTGTTCATTTGCTCGACGTGCGCCATCACCTGATCTCAACCAACGACTGACTCTTGAATATCTTTTTTTATCTTTGCTGGATCACAGGTGCCTATGAGCGCTACACGGACGGAAGGAAGCAATGGAGCACCATCGTACATGTATCTCGCACTTTGACGTGTTTGGTTTGGTCCCACTGCCCCTATCCTCTTCGTCTCCCAACCGCAAGCCAACCAGCTACTGAAACTGAAGTCAGTAAGTTTCTCACCTGTTATTTCTGGATGATTTACACCGGGCTGGACTCATGTTGCTTGCTCACGTGAGACAGAAATTGAGAGGCATCATTGAGAAGAAAACGTTCATAAATCTGATCGAAGGTTTTGCTGTCAGCCTCAAGCACTACTTAAGAGGCGGTAAGTTCCAATATCTCTTTGATTGCTATTTTTTTTTAGTCTAAACTAAATTTGACATGGGGTTTTATATAAAGAGCACGGAATATTTTATGAAGACTTGTACCGTAAGTCGACCAGATTCCTGATCAAAAGATTAACAGACCTGTAGAAGCTAACCAAGTTTTCTCAGACCTTGCCTGCTATCTACCGAAGTATCATTTTCCGGCCAGCCTTCCCGTGGAGAGGCCCGATTTGATCTCGGGAGAGAGAATTAGAGAACGCTCGCATTCGCCATCCCAACCGACCACATTGTCACACCGTCCTATCTCTGGACATACCTCGATTATGATCGATACACAGCCGGAAGAAGAGAAACCACCGCGTTGCACACCCACCACGCCCTTCCCACCCCCTCACAAACTGCTACCGAATTACAACCCCCCTGAAGAAAAACTTTGTGAATGCATGCCATTGGGGATCTTCAAAAGTATATGGAAGGTATGTTGTGTACATATCTCGCGTCGATGAGAGCAGATCACCAGTTGGGAAATCTACCGGTTCAGTGCAAGACTGAGGACGGCTTTTGTTTAGGGTACGCGGAATGTGACTGGACTGAGGAAAAAGAAGGCCAACTATAGTCGCCGAATCCACGATGACAACATCCCGCTCGAAATGATTTGCTGCATGAGTGCATACATTGCCACCCTGCAACAACGCGGCGTGCTAAAGTGAGCCGGTACACGCGTATAAGTAACAATATTTGATAAACCTGCCGACCTGATCTCTTCATCTGTACTTAGTGTTCCGCTTGCCAACTCTCTGCTTGTCTCGGTGTCTTGCTTCTCCGACTCACTAGCAACATTGGAGAGAATTCTCACGGTTCGTCATTTCTGTATTTGGGACTTTGTTTTCCTTGGCTACATAATTCCTCCTGAAATCGATCTATATGTTTTTGAACAGACGCCTATTCCATTTGGCTACATCGTCCATTTGCGGCTCATCATTTGGGGATATCTGATCTTTCTGCCTTTCCAACTGATGTCGACCTTTGGTTATGTCACGATACCAGCCACCGCATTGATCTCGATTGCGTTTCTTGGGTTTTTGAAAATCGGCGAAGAAATTGAAAATCCGTTTGGATATGGTCAGTCAGCCTTCTGCCTCTCGACTCTAGGAGTGTTTAAACTGACCCGATCATATATCCGGCTTTGGCGTTTGTGTGAATCACCTAGATTCCAACGACTTGGACATGGACCACTTTTGTCAGAACCTCATCGGGCGAGAGTTGGCGGAGATTACGTAGGCCATCTCCTTCACATTTGCCCTGACATCTGCTGCACATTCCTCACCCAAGGATACATTTTTGCCATGCCCATATTGAAGCGCTCTACCAGCGCCGGATCCGGAGGAATTTATGTTTTCGCCATTCAACTTACCGCTTTACCGCCAGCATGACGATAGATCTGCCACTGAACTCGCCAGCGTGTATTCTTCATCAGCCGACATCCAGGGGCTTCTCCGTAAGAAAGCATCCATAGCTCCATCCAGCAGGGATAAGAGGTGAACCCCTGCTCCAGTCACAGAAGGGGGGCCTTCAGAAAAAACCAAGTCTCTATTCCTTTAATACTATTTCGAATCGAGTGATCACAATCTCATTTAAATGGCTCACTTGATCGACATGATGAGCTATTTACTTCTACATAGACAACCCGAGACCCAGATCTACATCTGCCCAGTCTTCCGAATGTTCTTTGTTTCACTGCATGATAGTTTTCATTCGCCGTTCTCTCATATTACACGTGAATGTTGTATTAGCCTGTCTTTTTGTCTTGGGCCCATCCCTAGGGCATATCTCCTCCATGGATGTAGTTTTTAGTTTCACTCTGGCTTCTTGATTTTCATTATTCCTGTCTCATTTCGACGTTCTCGTTTTTTTTTTTCTTCTCTTTTGTGCACATTCTTCTACCCATATTAATTGTCGCTTATTTTGTAGTCTTGAAGCAATATATATACAAACATTCGGCTGATATACTTAACTTTGATAGAAGATCCCAGATTATCATGTGAGATTTGACATTAGGCTTGACATGCTTCATTCTAGTGAGGCTCAAAAGACTCGGTTTTAATCACATCAACACAAGCAGGCCAAGTGTGCAGGAAAGATGGAGTTTGTCCATTCCAAAATGGTTCATCTTCTAGATGGACAAGGACGCGATTAACTTGTTTACTGAGCGTACTACAGCATTGGATTTAAAACTGATTAGGAAAAATAATTTCCCAGGGTGGGGGCATGTATCATACATGCATTTGTCCGGTTTTTCCTGTGTCCAGGTCGAGTGCTTCATTCAGGTGGTGCACGTGACTGAGGAAAGTAGCGCTTCGCCTTCCCAGATTCGCAGGTGAGGCACCCTTGCGCACTTTCGAAATATCTGCAGTTGCATCTGTAGCAGCTCCATTCGTCGCCAGTGATGATTCCAGAACAGGGTCCCTCGCCTGGAATCGGTGGAAGAACCTCCGTACAAGGTCGCTCGGTAGGAGAAGGGAGCTTGAAGAGCCACCTCTGACTATTCGATCCCTCGTAGCCCTCTGTCACACAATTAGCGCATATCCTGTTTGTGCTTCCTCGCCGCCCGGGAGGTCTTGGTGATCGAGCCGGCATTACAACAAGTAGTACTACTAAGCAGATCAGTGCAGAACGGCCTGTGTGGAGTTGCATGTTGGCAGTTATTTGCACCGCGGATCGAAGGTCTGTTCGGCTATGCAAGGATAGTGGGCTCTTGAAGTGGGGGGTCTTGACCACTATGCCAGCAAGGTGTGGTTTGGCTGAGCTGAATAGTAGGCTTTGAAGGCGATTTTTTTTTTTTTTTTTTTTTTTACCGCTGATTGTTTTGACATTGCGCACTTTAAGTAATACATTCTACAGCTATTTCGGAAAGGGTTGTCCACTTGGACTCGCGAAATCTTTTTTATTTTTTTTTATTTTTTTTATTTTTTATTTTTTTACTGAACTGGGCCTGTCAGAACTGAACTACTGATGACAGCTGTACCTCCTCGGCTGTAGTTCAGTACAAAGAAAAATTTAAAAATTTTCAAAAAAAAAAAAAAAAATTGAGAGACAACTGGACTGTTGTCTCTCAGTTTTCTGTCCGCAACCAAAAAGTCACCACCCTCACACGCGCTGATTTTACACCAAATCACCCCCCTCCCCCTTACTAACAGGAAACTTCTCTTCTCACCCCTTTCCCCGAGCAGCTTATGCTCCCCCCCCCTCGCCCCCCTGACCCAACCCTTTGTCCCGACGCGTCGAACATGGACGAGGATGTTATCATTTCCGATGGCGAGCGCGCCGGCGACTCCAGACCGGCGGTTAACCCGCCCTCCAGCCTACACACCCTCCTCAACAAGGTCCTGGTCGATTCTGCCAACCGAAACGCATCTGGGGCCGTACTGGTCGATCCCACTTTTGTGGAGGTTATTCTCAATCTCTCAGCCGCGAATGAACATACCGTCCGAAGATTAGAGGAGACGATTGTTCAACTTAATAGGACGATCAAACAACTCAATGACAAGATCGACGCGAAATTTGACCCCGTGATGTCGCGTCTCGCCGAGCTTGAAAAACGTATGAGCGATGGTCCGGAACGCCAACAACCTCAGAAAAAGTCGTTTGCGTCAATTGCGGCCAACCCCGTCACAAACTCGATGAAGTCACCCCCCTCTCGCCCCCCTCCCAATCAGGTGCTCGCGTCTTTGAAACCAAAACGCGTCATCATCCACTCCAACCCCCTGAACACCACTCTGAAGGATGTCCCCAAGAGCGCGCTGGTCCAGAAGGCCAACGAGGCTCTCTCAAAGTTGAACGCAACGGTCAATGGCGAAATCGTGGCAATTAGAGGAGCCAGTATGCTCCCGTCGGGTGATGTTTCTTTTTATATAAAGAACCGAAATCAACAGAAATGGCTGATGGAACACAAGCACATTTGGTCCAAGGAGGTCCATGCAGATTTGGAGGCGACCCCCAGCACCTTCTCTGTCATGGCGCACGGAATCCCGAGATCGTTTGATATTGGAAGTCCAGTTAATCTAGCCATATTGGCCTCGGAAAACAACTTTCAGACATCCGACTTGGCTAGAGTACGATGGATGGGTTCAAACGAGGGTGCCGCAAAAAAGGCTGGTTCAATTGTTTTGTCCTTCTTAAACAAAGATTTAGCCCTTCGCGTTGAAAAATCGGGTATCTTTTTAAACTATGATTTTCACAGAACTGATCGATTCAAACCTCGACCTCCTCAATGCTTCAAATGCTTGAGGATGGGCCACTTTGGCAAATGGTGTCGGGAGACGGCCCGTTGTGCCAAATGTGCTGGCAAGCATCCTACAAATGAATGCCCTGAAGGCATTGGTAATGTCAAGTCTTGTGTCCTTTGTAAAGAAGGCTTGAAAAACAAAGTTGAGGGGATCACCGATGTTGCTCACACACCTTTTGACAAGCTATGCCCTTATAAGAAGGCATGGCTTGAGAAGCGCCCTCTTCCGTCTCAATGATAGGTCGACCCATTGCAACCCCCGACAGATCCCCACCACCAAACCCCGACGTGTCAAATTCACTTCTCCCCGACTGGGTGGCCTCTTCAGCCCCAGAACAGATCCATTCTAAAAAATTTTCCTTTTTTCAATTAAACTGTCATGTCTCTAAATCGGTAACCTTGAGTGTGTTGAATTCTGCACTCAATTTTGACGTTTTAATTCTACAGGAACCATGGGTAAACCCATTCGATTTCTCTCCGCCTCAACACAATTCTTGGAGATCCTTTGTCGCCTTTGAGCACTCCCCCACCTCCTGGCATCAACGCCACAAGACAGTCATATACTCTCGATCATCAATCCCTTCGTCTGACATCACCCTTCTGGATGGCGGATCTCAATTAATCGTAGGAGTCGAGCTCAGGCTCCCCTCTGGGAAATCGATCCGTGTCATCAATCTCTATAATCCTCCCCCTTCCTTCCCAGCTGTGATGGAGCTCAAATCATGGCTAACCTCTCATTATTCTAGGCAGATTGCAACACTCATTTGCATGGACTCCAACCTTCATCATCGTCACTGGAACCCCCCTGGTAGCCGCAAGAAGGATCCTGAGGCAATTGAAATGTTAAGTTCACTTTCCCAAAGTGGATTTCGCCTTGCATCTCCCAAACATGTTCCCACATTTTATTCCCATAAGGGCAGGGGATCTACCATTGACTTAATTTGGGCCAATTTCTTAGGGTCAAAATTACTTCAGACAGTCAACGTCACCAACGATAACTTTGGCTCCGATCATCAAGGATTGTTAGCCTGCCTCTCGTCAGGCAAACCTAACCCGGTTTATAGGCAAAGCCTCCCCCGCTGGAGTAACATCAATCAAGACCGTTGTCAGGACAAATTAGCTGAGTCCTCCCAGTTTTTGTCCGATGTCTCGCTTGATATCAATAGAAAGGTTACATTGCTTACGGCATCAGTCAAAGCAGTTCAGGATTCTTTAGGCCGCAAAGTTCGTGTTGATAGCTCCAAAGTCAAACCGTGGTGGTGCAAGGAAACACTTGACCCAGTGCTCAAGATGCGGAACAAAGCTCGACGCTGGATGATATTGGCTAAGTCTCCGGAGGCCATTGATTGTTATAAACAGTGGAACACTTACTTCTTATCTTTGGTAGACTCGTTGAAGCGAAGAAATTGGGAAAAACTCCTGGACAACCCCAAGGAGAATGACCTGTTCAAAGTTCTCCGCTTTTCCAAGCGGACTTCAGGCAACACTGGGTCACTACACTACCAGTAACGGTAGTGTAGCGGTAAAGTAGTGTTTTTTTTGTCACTAGCACTACTTTTCCTGTAGTGCAAACGCACTACATTATCATTTTCTTTTTTTGCTGTTTTTTTTTGGCCACTACACTATTGCAGCGGTCGTTTTTTGTATTTTTTATTGCTTTACGGTAGAGAGGAGATGACAAGAGAAAAATTACTATTAGGAAGACAAACGTAGGGGAAAGACACATTAATATGAGCAAGTAAGATGAATAATAATTAATATTGGATGATATTAAATAATCTTGAAGATGATTTTTGTGAAAAATCAAGATGACGGATGGCTGCTAGCAGGTTGGGACCCTTAAATGACAAGGCTGGACCGTTTCCTCATCAGATTAGGGCTGTTTCACCCCTGGATGATGCAGTAAAACATTATCCAGGGGTGAAAATGTTAAAAAATCAGATTTTGGTGCTCTCAAAAAGAGGGGCCCAGTTACACTACAGGATAGTGCAGTAGCGCACTATCCAAGGGTGAAACCATTACACTATCTGTTTTTTTTGGGTTTCAGAAAAGGGTCCCACTACACTACAGCCCAGGAAAAAAAAATTGCAGTTAGTGTAGCGGTAAAGTAGCAGCCAAGCAGCTGGGTGCACTACACTACGCAGATACACTGGATAACGCAGCGTAAAGTAGTGACCCAGTGTTGCTTCAGGCGGTGGTATTTTACCTCTACGGGATAGGGAGGGAAAAATCATGCTAGATAAAGAATCACAAGCTAAGCTTCTTTTTGACGGCACCTCTCTTACTGATGTCCCAATAGATCTCTCCGATGTCTCTTTTGATCCCACCTGTAGATTTGCCTGCTACCCCGAAGTAACACCGATTGAGGTCAAGGCTGCCATTGACAAAATTCGACCTAAAAAGGCAGCGGGAATTGACGGGATCGCTAATGAGATGCTTAAGTTGCTCTCTTCTTCCCTCTCCCCGATTCTGGCTAAACTGTACAATGAAATACTAACCACTAGCAAGTTTCCGCAGCCCTGGAAATGCGCGGTCACTGCGATCATCCGCAAACATGGAAAACCAGACTACACCTCCCCAAATGCGTATCGGCCAATTGCGTTATTGAGCACAATGGGAAAGTTACTCGAACTCATTGTGGCGAGAAGGCTGACAGATTGGGCTGAAGGCTGCAACATCCTTGCTGATGGCCATTTTGGTGGTCGCAAAGGTTCAGGCACCGAGGATGCAATCTTTGCTTTGGAGCACTGGATCAAGGCCAAGTGGAGCAACGCTGGGCCAGCTACGCTAACCGTAGCGGTTAGCGCAGCGTAACGTAGCGGAATTCCACGCAACTTTAGCGTAGCGTAGCGGGATTCCGCCACGACACCGCTAACGCTACGCGTGTGGGCCGCAAAAAAGGGCCCACTACGCTGCGCTACAGCGCTTTTTAGCGGTTTTTGGCCGCTTTTTCCGCTAAAAGCGCTGTAGCGCAGCGTAGCGTAGCGAAAAACCGCTACAAAAACGCTAACACTACCGCTTTTGGATGAAAAAAAAGCGCCGCTACGCTACGCTTTTTGGGCCAAAAGCGTAGCGTAGCGTAGCGGCCCACCGCTGAGTGGAGGGAAGGGAAAACAGTGGCTGGCTTATTCCTGGATGTCAAATCAGCCTACCCCTCGGTGCACCCTGAGCGGCTGATTTACTATCTATCTCAACAAAAATGCCCTACTTATCTTGTCCTTCTTATTGCTGATTTTCTGCGGGATAGGTCGACGACAATTCAATTAGATGACTTCACTTCCAAGGCTCACAGTCTGAAGATCGGCCTTCCTCAAGGATCTCCACTTTCGGTCATCCTTTATATACTTTATAACAATTCCCTACTGATCAAAGATTTTTCCCCCGAACGTGATAGGGTGTCCATTGGATATGTCGACGATGTTGTGCACCTGGTTGCCGATAGCTCATTTGAATCTTCCAAGGAGGCCCTAGTTGGCGAGGGTAATCGTTCCCTCATTTGGGGCAGCACTCACGGAGCTATTTTTGACCAGGCAAAAGCCCAATTTATGTGGTTTTCTAAGGGCAACATTCCCGAGGGGTTTCTCTCTTTTGGGTCTCAGTCCCTAAAATCAGTGTCGGAGGCGAAATGGTTGGGGGTCTTTCTGGATCCCAAACTTTCATTTGCTCGCAATTTCCGAGCCTTAGAGGACAAGGTGTCGAAAACAGCTGGTCAACTGAAGATATTTGGGAATTCCAGGAGGGGCTCCCGTGAGGCTGCTTGTGCCAGATTAGTTCGATGTGTTCTTATCCCCCGCATAACATATGGGGCTGCCATTTGGGCTACGGAGGCAAACAGGGGAAAAGTGATGGCTTTGGCTAATAAGGCTGATAGGATCGCAGGAATTTTTTCGCTTGGTGTCTTCAAATCAACGTCAAAGCAATTCATTTCCTCGCGATCCACTATCCCCCCGATTTTCAACGACATCTTACGGACAAGTTTTTCCTTTTTCTTCAGGAAAATCACAACAATCAAAACTAATAATATTGTGAGGAGGTTCATTTTATCCAGCAGGTCCGACTCAGCGGGAAGACTAGCGGACTCGGCCAGGATGGGTCTTTCCCGCGCCATGGTTGACTCGGCCATCCAACTTGGACCAGAGACTCTCCACCTCTCTTTCAACTTCAATCAACTAGCTTCCAGGGACATCTCTTATGTCAATCTCGGTCAAACAAAGGAAGAAGCTATACTCGCGGTTAAGTGCCTTCTTTCCACCCTTTCTTCTCGACAAGACAATCTCTTAATCTTCAGTGATGGTTCCTTTTTCCCGGGAAAAGGAGGTGCAGGGGCTGCCTTTTGCGCTCAATTCAATCTTTTCCATGCTTTATCCATGGGTACCAACCTGGCTGTCTCCAATCATGAGGCTGAGGCTGTAGGACTGATTGCTGCGTCCAGCTTAGCTGGAAACCTATGTCAGGGCCGTATGATCAGGAAAATTATCTTCTTTGTTGATAACAAAGGGGTCATCCAGAGGACTAAAAACCCGGCTTCCCCAAAACCGGGTCAATCACTTTTTCAAGTCATCGACAAAAACTTGGCGGCATTACCTCCTTGGGCGGAGATCGTCATGGTCTGGTGCCCAGGTCACAAGGACATTGTTGGCAATGAAATGGCGGACTTACTTGCAAAAGAGGCTGTGGACAACCCTGCATCCCCCGTTTTTAATGTTCAAGGGAACCACCAAAAGATCACTCAACTGGCGACTACGGAATTGCGCACCACGGCTGCTGCCTCCCCCTCCTCATTGCCAATAGCCGCGACTTCCGTGATAAATCAACTTGCCTCTGGACATTGTACGCTGAACTACTTCCTCTTTCGCATTAACAGGCACTTCGACCCCATCTGTCCCTTCTGCCCAGGCAGGGACACACCCATTCATCTTTTCAATTTCTGTCCCCGATTCAAGAACATCCGATCCAATCTTCGAAGATCTTTACGAAACTTAAAGATACGATTCCATCCTGATCGCCTCGACAAGGTTATGCTCCTGAGAAGGGCAGACCCCGCTGTCGCACGATTCCTCCAAATGACCGGCCGATTTTTAGCTCTCAATTCTGTCTCTTGATTTGCTTGTACTCTCTTTCTTTTTCTTCTGTTTCTGCTTCTGTTTCTTCTCTTTTCCTTTTCCTTCTTCTACTCTTGTCGTCCCAGTCACCCAGATTTTCTTCATGCTGTTCTATTTTCTCAGCTTCTCTTCTTTCCCTGTAGTGTATTTACAGATAAGATCTCAGTAGATTCATAGTGTGCAATGCCATAGGCCAAATCTCACTTAAAAAAAAAAAAAAAAAAAAAAAAAAAAAAAACTGGACTGTTGTGACCTAGGTCACATGGTGTGACTCGGCTGCGGCTCAGCCAGCGGGCCACACCTACCGGAATCCATACCGCTTACACCCTCCGAGTCACTACAGGTTATGAGCCTGCAATACCAGCTACGCTGAAGAATCTCGAACCGAAGAACCCTACCGGACTCATCTTTTGAATCTCACCGACGAACCATACCGGACCTACCTATTATCTCGCCGACGGAGGAATACCGGCATTTTCACTTTCAATCTTGCAACAAACACCGACGAACGAACTATACCAGGAGATATCTACCTTGCCAACAAATCTCTTGCATTTATTCATTTTTTCTTCTCTCCTCAAACTTACTCAATCGCGAATCTCGATGGACCCTTACACTCAAGATGCTTACAGTCGGATTCGGCTGTTCTTGACCGATTTGAATACTGTTTTAGGATCTACCTTATACGCGACTCCCTATGAACCAGCTCAACAATTGAATCAAGTTAGATTTCCGCAAAACTTTGCACTCCGTGGTCCTCATCAACAGTTCTCGCCAAAACGATCAACACGTCGCTCAAGAGCTTGGAAGATGAATCACCAACGGAACGATCGGGATCAGTTGGAGAAAGCTGCTCACCCTTTGCCACCAATGCATTCAGTCACTCAATGCAAGCTCGGCGGCAATGCCAAGGCATATACATTCCGATTTCCTCCAAATCGACGACGAGCTAATTTCTACAACCACCAGCAGCTAAACAGGCCCCTTGATATTTCTCAAAGTGCTTTTCAGCTTCAGCCGACACCTTTTCACTGTTCTGGCAATCCCGATAGCTTGGCCAATGAGTGTCCTAACATTTGTGATAGTTTGATTGACACAAATCCTACCGATCATGATGTTTTAGTTGATGATAATCCCAGCAATCACAATGATTTGATCAAAGAAAATTCTAGCGATTTCGATGATTTGGACGACAAGGGTTCTGACCTTTCCAACGAATACCCTGGCAGTCAAGCTGATTATGTTGATGATTTGCCTGAGCAAGAAACGGCCTCTGTGACACTTTCAGATGGTCATGATCCTGAGGTTTTACCCGTGGCCAAACCGGAAAACAAAGCTCAGTTAACCGAACCCACTTTTAGCATGGACAACTACAGCGCAAGAGACGTTGATCGCTGGGCTAGGACTCTGTCGGCCGATCAATTTGAACAACTACGAATCTTAGGACCTGCGAGCCGGATTGAATCTTTCCGGCAATATGCCATCACCAACCTTGATCAACCAACTCAGACTCTTACCCAGAAAACTTCGTCAACTCCTCAGTTAAATCAAGAACCACTTTGTCACATACCAAGTGAAGTAGCTGACAACCAAAATCAATATGTTGACTCAACATCCGATGATGCCAACAACCCTTTTCTCCATTCACATCATGTCAATCACCAACCAGATCAATCCACCCACTCTAGTTATTATGACCACTCCAACTACAACACCACTGATCTTGATGAGAATCCATATAACACAGTAGTTTATGATGACAGTGTTTTTGATGATGATGGTTATGATGGTGGATTTGACAATGGCGGATTTGACGATGGTGGTTTTGACGATGGCGGATTTGACAGTGGCGGATTTGACGATGGCGGATTTGGCGATGGCGGATTTGACAATGGCGGATTTGACGATGGCGGATTTGATGATGCTTATTATTAGCCTGTTTCACATTCCAACCCTCTTTCCCACTTCTTAAAATTTGATTTTTTTTATCTTCAACCTACTCATAATTTCTACCATTTTATTTTATTTAATTATTTTTTTATCTTTCAGCCTCCTCAACCTTTCCACGTCAATTTTTTCTTCAAGTTTGATCTTATTTTGTTTATTTATTTCTTCTACCTTTCTTCATTTTTCTTTCTATTTTTTCTCAGCTTGTATGTAGTTAGGACCTCCCCGGCAGGTGTCTTGGAGCCTTGCCGAGGGGGTGGGTGTTGTGACCTAGGTCACATGGTGTGACTCGGCTGCGGCTCAGCCAGCCGGAGGAGACTACATCCGTCTCCTCCGGGCCACACCTACCGGAATCCATACCGCTTACACCCTGCGAGTCACTACATGGACAACCCTTTCCGAAATAGCTGTATGTTTTTTTTTTTTTTTAATTTAATTTTCGAGTGATCACAATCTCATTTGAATGGCTCAATTGATCAACATGATGAGCTATTTACTTCTACATAGACAACCCGCGCGAGGATGACACTCAGGCCCAGAACTACATCGGCCCAGTCTTCCGAATGTTCTTTGTTTCACTGCATTATAGTTTTCATTCGCCGTTCTCTCATATTGCATGTCAATGTTGTATTAGCCTGTCTTTTTGTCTTGCGCCCATCCCTAGGGCATATCTCCTCATGGATGTAGTTTTTAGTTTCACTCAGGCTTCTTGATTTGCATTATTCCTGTCTCATTTCGGCCTCGTCGTTTTTTTTTTTTCCTTCTTTTTGGGCACATTTTTCTCCCATTATTAAATGGTCGCTTATTTTTGTAGTCTTGAAGCAATAAATATAAACATTTGGCTGATAGGACTTCCAGTCAATGAAGAGTGTATCCCAACCGAGCTATTGCTGATGAGCAGTCCTAAGATGCCAGATTCTCATGTGAAATTCAATTTTAGGCTTGACACGCATCATTCTAGTTAGGCTCAAAAGACCCTGTTTTTTAAACGGAAAAGGCAGCGAGTAATTGTGCTGTCAACTTGTTACTGAGCGTACTACTGCTTTGAATTTAAAACTCATTGGGAAACATGAATTCCCAGGGTGGGGGCATGTATTGTTGTACATGCATCTGTCCAGTTTTTCCTATGTCCAGAGTGCTTCATTCAGGTGGTGCACGTGACTGAGGAAAGTAGCGCTTTGCCTTCCCAGATTCGCAGGTGAGGCACCCTTGCGCACTTTCGAAAAGTCTGCAGTTGCATTTGTCGCAGCGCCATTCTTTACCAGTTATGATTCCAGGACAGGGCGGCTCGCCCCGAATGGGTTCAAGAATCTCCTGACAAGGTCGCCGGGCAGGAGAAGGGAGCTCGTAGAGACACCTCTGACCATCAATTACCTCGTAGCCCTCTGTCACACAATTGGCGCATATCCTGTTTGAGTTTCCTCGCCGCAGAGGTCTTGGCAATCGAGCCGGCATTCTGGGAGGCGATGAGCACATGGTCATGGCGGAGACAAATACTGCGCAGATCAGGGCAGCACGGCCTGTGTGGAGTTGCATGTTGGCAGTCGTTTGCACCGAGGATCGAAGGTCTGTTCGGCTATGCAAGGATAGTGGGCTCTTGAAGTGGGAGTTCTTGTCCACTATGCCAGCAAGGCGTGGTTTGGCAAGCTGAATAGTAGGCTTTGAAGGCGATGAAGGAGGATGTGAGTAGGATTGCCACAAATGAATAAAAAAAGTCACTCCACAAGTAAGGGTGCACACCAGCCAGTTTACCACTGAACACCAACTAGTCAACATCTCACCCCGAAAATCAACAGCAGCCTTCTGACCCTGAACAGCGACAACAGCTAATGCCTCCATCAATTGGCCAAAAGTTTTGACCAGCCAGATGGCCACTTGGTGCTGTCTCATTCCAATCAAGAACATTGGTCATCCTTATGAGATTTAGAATACAATCTTGAAGCCCAGTCATAAAATTAAACAACTACAACGGAAAAGGGGTTGTAAGTTAACTATGGAACAAAAATGGGCAGTGTACATCAGCAATGGAATTTAACATAAATTTAATGGGTAATGCATCAACCAAATGCTAACGGATAAGCATGGAAGAAAACCTCATTTAGAATGGAAAAATATGAGATGAGCAGGGGAAGGATGTGAGTGGAGTTGGAGGCTAGAATTCTGCAAATTATTACTTCGGCTTGGTGTCAGGGCTCTCATTTTCCTTCACTGATCCTTTCTGGAAGTAAACCGGAAAGAGAGAGAGATCGGACGACTTTCTGTCAGATCTGGGTCCCTCTCAGTTTTCAATTTAGACCCAAAATTTTTTCATTCTTGTAGAGAAAATTGGTGTTCCAGGCTCTGAATTGGGTCTGGGAGAGCCACAGATTGTGATGGGAAGTCCTCCCTTGGGTGCTGAGGAGGAATTTCCAGAACCCAAAAAGTATTTTTCAGAAGAAGAAAAGGGTCAGTGCAACAATGGGGTTTTGTTGAGTTTTCACTTCTTTGGTCTACTCCTCCCCAAAATCACTCCCTCTTTCCCCGTTATTTTTCTCATTTTCTCTTTCTTGAATCTTTCTAATCTGGACTGAATTATAATCACTCTTAGCTAGTTTTCTGTTGAATCTTATGCACACTTGTAGTCTAATTTAGAACTCTTGTGGCAATTTTAAACGACTCTAGTCCTGAAGACTGATTTCTTCCTTTTTCTAGTTTATTATTTGATTCATTAAAAACTAATTACTTAGAATTAACACCTCTAAATATTTGTGCTAGAATTTCTGATTTTTCTTGATTAACTTTTCTTGCCCGACTAAAAGAGACTGAGAAATCCCGCTATGATTGTTTCTTCCAAGACCTCAAAATATTCTATCTCTTAGGTTTTTATTCAATTCCTCGTTTTTATTCAATTTGTCTCAACCACATTTTGAAAACATGTATTTAGTCCTTTTAACTAGGCTTGCTACATGTGAATGAAAATATTGGTTCTTCCACTCATTTTCTGTGAACCTCTCCCAAAAAAGGCCTTCAACCTTTTTTGCAACGTTTTCTCAAATTCCTCAGCATTTGCCTGTCTTCAGCTCAAAAGTTGAACAGGTTTTATGTTGGTGATAACAATAGTGTGACAATAGTGTAATGGAATTGTTTCTGATATTGCTGTTACATTATCCTTTTGTTTTTTCTATATTATTTCACTCCTGTTAAGTTACCCACCACAGCAATATAAGGGGGTACCAAATGTGAAAAAACTGCCATTGGAAACCAGTTGGTTAATTTTCCAAAAATAAAATTTTGCGCCAATGGGTCCCCAAAGAGGGTAAGTGAAGATTACCAACCACTTTGTCTGCTTGGAAATAACTGATCCCCTTCACTTCCCAGCACCCATAGTTCTGAAGAATCGGAGGAACACAGCCAAACCAGAGGCTTTGAAATGGAAGGAGAAATATTCAGGTTGTTTCAATTTAACTGAAGGAAGGAAACTCTTGTGTCAAAATCCTTTGAATTGCTAGATGTTAAATTTTCTTTGATAATCTTTTTTCAATTCTTCCTCTCCATTTTGCTGTTCAATTTTCTTTGATAATGTTAATTGAATTTTTACTCTCCTCTCTTTGGTTTGGATATATTTGTTCCCTCTGCTCCTTTGTGGTTGAATTGTCATGAGTTTATTTATCTCCTACTAACTAGCCTCATTGGATTCAGGAAAATTCTTATGGACACTCTGCAGCAATTTTACCTTGCATTGTATTTTCCTGTGATGAGGGAAATATCATGCAAGGTTCACCAGCCATAATTTGTTGCCTTCACCCAGTGAGAATCGTTGGTAATCTCACATTTTTCTTTTCCTAAATTTTTAATTCCTGGGTAAAGGTGAAACTTTGTTTTTCCTCTATTATTCTTTTACTCTCCCTTTATTTTCACTTTTTTCAATTTTTTCCTTTAGTTTTCATTTCCCCAATTTTCTTTTTTTTTCATCCTGTTCCTTTGATGTGCTTTTCTTGCTCTTTTTTCCCTCCAAGTTCCCCTTTTCTTCCCTCTTTTCTATCTACCTTTCTTTTCCTTTTTTCTGTTCATTTGTGCCTGTTTTTTTTGTTTGGGAGCGCTGACTCTCAACTGTGCAGGCGTTTTTGGAGGATTGACTCCCAGAAAGCTGTGCAGATTTTTTCGTGGTTTTGGGGTTGGAATTGGTGCACCAACTCCCAAACCCCTGCAGGGTTTTGGAGGATTGACTCCCAAACCCCTGCAGGGTTTTGGAGGATTGACTCCCAAACCCCTGCAGGGTTTTGGAGGATTGACTCCCAAACCCCTGCAGGGTTTTGGAGGATTGACTCCCAAACCCCTGCAGGGTTTTGGAGGATTGACTCCCAAACCCCTGCAGGGTTTTGGAGGATTGACTCCCAAACCCCTGCAGGGTTTTGGAGGATTGACTCCCAAACCCCTGCAGGGTTCTGGAGGATTGACTCCCAAAACCCCCAAGTTATTTTTTTAAATATTTTTTGATCATTGACTCCTAAAGTTAAACCAACTGATGGGTTTGGAGGATTGACTCTCAAATCCTCTGCAAAAAATGCGGGATTGGACGTCCCAGGACAGTCTGCAGATGATGCTCAGTGTTATGACATGAATTCCCATGTCACATTTTGATTGAGTTCTCACCCTATTTATATACATAGTCTATGGATTTATGGGTTTTTGTTCCTCACCAACCCAATTTATGGGTTTTTGTTTCTCACCAACCTAATTTATGGGTTTTTGTTTCTCACCAACCCAATTTATGGGTTTTTGTTTCTCACCAACCCAAGTATGTACATAGGTTTTTTCTATAAATACTGGGTTCTTAAGAAATTTATATCCACTTGGGGATATTCTTCATCTCATCTCAACATCAGGAGTCACTGCTTAACATTCAGGACATCCCCAAAATTTGGGAGTCAATTAGCAAAGACCCTATGTTTAAAAATGGTGGATTTTTCCAAACCAGTCAATTGAATAATGGTGGATTTGCCTATATTTGATACCCCCTAATGTGTGGATATCAAATAAATACCAAGGGGGTTTGACCCTTTTTTGATGGGTTTTGCAGAAATTAACCATTAGAATTTAGAAACCAGTCACTTTTCCAAAGATAAAGTTTTGTATCAATGGACCCAGTCCCAAAGGGGTTGAATGAAGAACCCACATGTTTAAAAAACAGTGGATTTTTCCAAACCAGTCAATTATAGAATCAGTGATGGGCTGCTATGCTACACTATTGTTGGAATTCTCTCCGTCTCTTTATCCTCTTGTTTTGTTCACTTCTCTATTTTTTTCTCTCCACTCTTTCCGCTCTCTCCGCACGCTCTGTTCTCTTTCAGCTCTCTCCGCATGCTCTGTTCTCTTCTCTCTCTCCCTCTCTACTCTCTTACTTGTTCCGTCATTCCTTCCCCTTTCTTCTATTTCTTCTTCAAACAGCCTCCTTCTCTGTCTCGTCTCCCTACGCCTCCAACTCGGCTCAATCACCTAGAAACAACCCTAACTGAGCACCTCCAACCACAATTCAAACCAACCGTCTCTCAAGTATAAAACATGGATCGGTCATCAATCCAGTCTCGCTCCTTCTCCAGCAGTCCTCAACCCGTCATCCATCAACTAAGAAACCCACAAATCTTACTGCTCAGACCACTTCTCATCCTCCTCGTCAACAATTTCATCCACAATTCCCTTCCTTATCTTTCTTTGATTCCGCTTCTTCTCCTCCCTCTTTCTTTATTTCTTGTCTCTCTTCTCACTCATTGTTCAGTCCCAACGTCAACGCTCACACATCCTATCGACATCTCTTCAACCACCTCTTCTTCTCACACCGCCGACTCTTTCTCTCGAACTGCTTTCTTGGCTCTTGCCAATTTGGTGAGAAAACAACTCACAATCTTTTTTCTCTTTCAACAAGTTAGATCATTAATCATTATTGCCTTGTTCAAAAACAGTGTCTACTATTTGTCATTGTTTGACATCATTTATTTCAGTCTTTCTGTTCTGTCTAATCCAAAAGACAACTCCACCCGTGGTAAATTTCATCCTCTTTTGTCTTTCTCTTTTTTTATGACTATTGTCTTCTTTTGTTTCTTATGATTAACTCTTGTCATTTATTTTCGATAGTTCTGGTTCTAGTTTCAGTAATTCTTCCTGTTTTTCATCAACTATTCTAAACAGCCCACTAACATTAGAATAGCAGCTCTAGAAATAGCACACTGATCATATAGTATTAATGCCCATATGCTATGTTATGCTGTGCTACATCGCTTTTAGCGGCAAAAAGGCCCAAAACATTTTAAAATACGCTGCGTAGCCGGCCCTTCTTTGCGGCCTGCATGCTTGGCGTTAGCGCAGTAGTGGCAAAATTCTGCAGTGCTATGCTAAATGTTAGCAGAATTCTGCTACATTATGCTGCACTAATGCTAATGTTAGTGTAGTGGTCCCATTGGTGATATGTCTCACTTGCTTATTAGGCAGCTTATTTCTGTACATCATTTAGTAAATAAAATTAGTGCACTGTAAATCTTCCAGGTAGTTTAATACTATAAAACATAAACATACCCAAAACTCTCATCTTTAGATGGCGGCTGTCAGGAATGAAATTCCAACAAGCTCAGCAGTGTTGGAATTCTGTAGCCCCATGCCATTCTCTCCCTGTCACCTTCATGTCACTACTTTTTGCATCAGTCCCTCTCATTCTCCCAGTTCCAGATGAATATCCAGTTTCACCTTCTGTCCCACAACTCAGCCCATATTGTATGTAGATAAAATATTCATTCTTTAGAGTTAGAAATGCAAAAACATCTGTTCTTCTGCGCTTGATCCCTGTAGTCTCTACCGGATACAACTCCCTGTAGCGTGTGTGCTTTTCCACCACACAAGCTAGCAGAATTAGCCCTATTTAGGGCTCTAAGACCATTCTTTTCCCTCAGAGCTTTTCCTTGATGTTTTCATCACCCGGTCTCTTCTCCCTTTCTCCGGCCAAAAATCCTGAGTTTCTTCAAGCAGAAGAAAAAGGGTTAAGGATATCTGCTGAGCTAGGATAAAGCAGGTTGGAAAGTCAATAGATTGAAGTATTGGGTTTGATTTTGAAGCTTATGTAATATTTGTGACATCTTTGCAAACCCAGCAGACAGCTGGGTTCATATTTGAGGAGAGGATATTTTTTTAACAAGCAACACCTGTTTTTTCATTGTTTTCTCTCACTTTCTCCACCACTATCTTTCTCTCTTGCTCTCAGTTTTGTCTGTAGCTTTTGTATTTTCTTGGTTGCCTGTTGTTTATTCTTGATTTTATAAAAAAAGAAATACATCAACTCAAATGATCTCAACAAATTAAGAATGCAGCAAAAGTCAAAACAAGTACAATTGAATGTGTGTATTAGCAACGGTGGGCCGCTACACTAACCGTAGCAGTTAGTGTAGCATAAGGTAGCAGAATTCTGCCAAGTCTTAGCGTAGCGCAGCAGAATTCCTCCATGACTGCACTAATGCTACGTGTGTGGGCCCACTACACTGCACTACAGCACATTTTAGCGGCTTTTGGGCTGTTTTGCCGCTAAAAGCACTGTAGTGTAGTGGCACTAACACTACAGGTTTGGCATGCTGTTTTGAGGGCTGATACGCTAACATTAGTGGGCCGTTTAGCGTAGTGTAGTGTAGTGTAGCGTAGCGGCCCACCTTTGGTATCAGAGTGAGTGTTGAAACATTGATGGATTGTATTTTTTAGGTTTGACTTTTGGGCATTTGTTTTCAGAGACCTAGGAGTAGTCAGTGACTGGGTGGAAGAAGGGGGATTGGTCACTGGTGTCATCCTCCATTTGTGAGGCGGAGGATGGACCAAATTGCAGCTGGGAGGTAAGCCACAAAACTCAGAGGTGGACCGGATCATTTTTCAGGACCACTGGAGTACAAAAATGCAGGTAAGAGCCAATTTTGTTGTTGTTTCCACAAACCCAGCTTTTTTTTGTCCATGGTTCCACAAAACTGGCTTTTTTTGTCTGTGGTTCCAGTGCCACAAACTCACATGCAAGTTTGGGCTTGTTGCTTATTTTGGTTCCACAACATCCAACCTTCATTTCACCTACAACCATGACCCAGAAGTATGGGTCCTGGCAGTCTGGAGTCATGAAATCACTCCTGAAACAATTGCTGTGAGTCAATCTGGACTTGAAAGGGGGAGTTGAAATCATGTTTCTGTGGACCAATGGTCAAGAACCCACCTGGATTTACAATTTTTGTCCACTATTGGGGTTCAATTCTGTCCACTCCTTTTTGGGGCTGCTGCCCTATGTCTAACTGTGGCCCTATCAGCTTCTGCTTTGGCCCAAAAGGGTACTTTGCATGGGTGGGTGCCACAGAAAAAATGTGGACTGTCAGGTCCTGGTCCAATATCCCACAGTGGCCACTTGTGGAATCCATGTGTAAAACTAAAATGGGTGTTGGACCATGACACATGTCAAGTTGCACTCCAGGTTTATCTGTACAGCTTTCAGTGCAAGCCATCAACTCAGAGACAGAGACCCTGTGAGGCTACCCTCTGATTAGCTCTGGTTTAGCAGCTCACTTAAGAGGCTTGTTTTTGAGATGGTTGATGAATGGGAAATTCACCTATTTTTTACATATCCTAGTTTTAAATCAATTTGGATACAACTTCAGCTCCTGTCACTGACAATCCAGGGAAGCTCATTTCTAAATTTTGAGGGCCTCCGTTGCCCTCTACTTGACACTTTTTTCTTCCAATTGACCATCCTGAATGGTCCCAATATTTCCTTAGTTGTTCAGACTCAGCATCTGGCGGTTTGATCTATGCAAGCAAAACAACAATTTGCTAGGGCCTCGCCATCAGTTCAACACCAATGCGGTGATCAATACAAGTCGATTGCCAAGCCTTCCTGGCGTCTTTAGGCAAGCTTTACTAGCTCGTCAGGCTCGGAAGATGTGCTGAGCTAGAAAGGAGATGATGAGAGACGATAGGAGAAGCTCCAACCAAAGTCGGTTCGGGGTGAACAACGGGGGATCATACGGACCGGTCATTGGAGCAGTACATTAGGTTTCGCCGCCCGCTGCGCATGGTGAGACTCGCAACCTGCGCTCACATCTACTGCCGGTCTGTCACCCGCGCGGCCAAGCCCCACATCCCGTGAGCGACGTAAGCCGACGAACACACTGGTGAACCCAACAACCCGATCGAAGGCTCAGTCCGACTCATCCCCATCGCCCTTCCTTCAACATGGTATGTCTCGGTCCCGCACCCTTCTGAAACCCTCCAACATGATATCTATGTCTGCAAGCTCCCGATGCTTTTCTGCTCTAACCATTCCATCCGGCGACGAAACCGATGTACATCAGAGTTGGAATATTAATCACAAGTATTGCTGGCTCTTGTCATTCCTAGGATCCTTCAGGCTCAGTTACGATCCGCACCCGGCAATTCCTTACCAACCGTTTGCTCCAGCGCAAGCAGATGATTGTCGACATCATTCACCCCACCCGACCCAACCTTTCCAAAGATGAGCTCCGGGATAAACTCTCAGGGATGTACAAGGCACCGAAGGAACAGATCATTGTTTTTGGATTCCGAACTCAATTTGGTGGTGGTAAGAGCACCGGATTCGCTCTAATTTACGACACCAAGGAGGCCCTCAAGTTCGAGCCCAAATACCGACTTATCCGAGTACGCTCAAACTTCCGACCTACCATCAATTGCTTCTCTCTTAGCTGATGTCAACTTCTCCCTTTGCAGTTTGGTATGGCTGAGAAGAAGCCAGCAGTTGCACGGAAACTGCGCAAGGAGAGAAAAAACCGGGCCAAGAAGTCAGTTCCATCCACCAAAAGACAACCTACCCGTTAATCCAATACTGATCAAAACGTTTTATGTTTAGGTTCCGTGGAACGCAAAAGAAGAAAGCCGACCAAGCTGCCAAGAAGAAGTAGATACCGCCATCGATGGTCATGGGATGAATCAAAGCCGAACCAAAAGTCATGCCTACTGGCTCCTTGTTTTGCTTGTCGACATGAATGCTATTATCATTGGTTACAGTGGGCCTATCTGCGTTCCCTTGTATCTATTGCCCCCTATGAAAATTCCTCGACCCGTGCAACTACTCCTTCTTGTTCAGCAAGTAAACCGATGCACAGATCACAACTATCCAACATGCAAAACATTTTCTTATGATAATTGGCCTTGAATTCTACTGACGAGAGCCTGTCATCGTATTATCACCGCCACAACTCAATCAACCGCTGGAGTAAACCGATGAGCCCTTTCTAGATGCACGTGCACTTGTGCAAAGCATGCGAGCACCGGTCTAACTACTCAGTAGGCCTCTCCGAAAGCTTGTTATTACCAGCTATGCACACATGAGTCGGGTCATAGGAAGAGCCTACTTTCCTGTAATCATTTTTTTGGTGATGATCCTGTTGTGCCCTGCATTGAACTTTGAGCATTTCATTTCTGTCTTGTGTAAGTTTCCATCACAGGGTTTGGCCCAAAAGCATCGAGCTTCCCCTCAAGCAGTCTATCTTGGCCTGACTCCTCCCACTGGCCATGTGGTTTGTAAAGCTAGTTGGTTGACCAAAGAAGAAACATGAAGTTGTGGGAGTGTGTATGAGCACAATTTAAATGAACCATACATAACCAGCTAAAATATGATGGAGCTGTAATCTGCTGCAATTTTTTGTGACTTGTGAGGTTTTGTTTTTATTGAGAGTCCCTCTAAACCCAATCAACCCTAGCGAGCAGCGGAGCTGTCCACGCCAGTGGAGGCCTATGCCCAATGTCGCAAGGCCTGTGTGGTGAGCTCAGAATTTGACTGAAAGCTCACTTTTTTGTGTGTTTTCCACTCTAAGCACTCCCTTAATCATATTCATCTAATTTCCTCCTGAGACAGGGGAGGCCTGTGTCTTGCCCATATTTCCCTGTGTTCAGTTTTTTGGTTATGCTTGTTAATCATTTATAAAAAGTTTTTGAAAAGGTTGACTTTTCAACTCAACTTGGCTTCTTTTGGTGGGCCCAAGTTGAGCAAAGCCCGCATTTGAGCTCAAAAAAAGTTCAAATCATAATTTTAGAAATTTATTCCTAATTACAGTTGCAATGTGCAACTTCTGAGTTTTGGCCTGATCAATAAGATCAGGCAGGTCTTTCAGATTTCCAGACCAAAAATCCATTAAGTTTTGAGGGAGCATCATGATTCCAAATCTTATGACGCTCCCACCAAAACAGTGGAAACTCAGCACCCAAGTGAGTCGACTTTTGTCCCAAGTCTCCCCTGCGGGGAGTTCCCTTCGGGAACCGCCTGGCCAGCACTACGCTGCCAGATGCGCCCCCCGCAGCCTGAGACTTGCAACAAGTTCGCAATCAACCAACCCCACTGTTGCCCAAATTGCTTGATTCAGAAGGGGGTCCTAAACTCTATTGGCTGGTGAAAACTTGTCAGCTCCCGTCTCTTGTGTGACTAGTAGTTGATGAAGGGTTAGGGTCACACTATTGTTGTTTACACAACGTAGTGGAAAGAGGTTGCACTCTTGTTGATTAATCAACGTAGTGGAATTAGCCTCTTCAATCTACTAGAGTATTTGAAGGGCTGCTCCTTATTGTTATAAGGGACGACAGCGGAACAACTTCGCTGCGCCAGGCTTATGAGAAGAGGAAAACAGTTACTAGTCTAGTTACAAAGGTTAACCGTAACAGACTAGTACTAAATAGAGGGAATAGAGTATTATGTAATGTAAGGTATACTAGATTATAAAACCCCACTCACTTATTGTACTGTTGTAAATAGGTAAGGGTAGCGGGTTTTTATGGTAATCTCTGGGGGAAGGAATCCTAGAGGGATAGCCTTCCTCCTTAAGTATTACAGAGCAGAGGTCAGTCTGCTTGTAGGACCGGTACAGTCCCCATAAGGTTATGTTATTTCTTTGGGGAGAAATGTCAAGAAGATTAAAGTACATATGAGGAAAATCTCTCTTATTTCAGAAGATACACCTAAGAGAGATAAACAGGACTATAAGTATTTTCAACAGAGATACACAGGATAAATCTCTTTGATAATCATAAGAGATAATTATCCTTTTCAATCTAAATATAACTTTCAGGAAAAGGGTAAATTAATAAAGAGGTAAATCTTTATTCATTTACTAAACATTTATTAACATAACTAATACATATAAAAGAGAATAACATTACTGTATACTTATTAACTTAAAAATTACATATAATAATATTTATTAAGTAACCCAAGGGGGTTACCTTTTATTGTAGACACCTGGGCTAGCGTCTCAGTGTCTGACAAAACTTGATCTCAATCAATTTTCCCCAGAAAATAATGTTTAGAATGTCCTTCCAAGTCAACAAATTTGGACCATGGGATGGCCCCTGATTTGATGCCCCATGAGTTGAGAAACTTCAGGTCAGTAACAAGCTTGAGGGAGCATACCTCAATTGCAATTCTGGAATCCAGGATCAACATTGCAATTGAAATGAATTCTAGAATTGATGTTAATAGCAAAAAGAATTTCTTTGTTGTTCCATGTAGTGTAGGCCCTTTAAACTTGAATTGACTTGTGGAGCAATCAGGTTTTTTCAGATGTGAAATAGTTATTATTATCTTACATGATTTCAATCTAGGTCTGGCAGGCATGAAACAGGATGACTTCCTGCTGGAATTCAGTTTACATCCCATAATTTTTTTTTTTTTTTTGATGAAATCAATTATTATCAAAAGTCTTACATTGGTGACACAATCCCCCGACATTCAGAGGAGCTGGTTGTGGTTTTGATTATTGTGTTCATTTAAGATTTAAAGGGGCTCCCATAAGCCTCTAAAGTGCAACAGGAAGTCCTCAATCCACTGTTTTTTTTGCTTGAGCAAATCACCTTCTTTCTGATATATAGTAAGAACTCTCTTGTTGCGTTGGATGTCTGTTCATCTAGGGTTTTTATTTGAGAGCTACCAACCAATTTTTTTCCTTGCTTGTCTTTTTAGAGTGAGTTCCTCCAATTTTACTTTGACTGTTTTATGTTGTTCCCAAAGCACAAAAAGAACTTCTGTTAGGTTTCCTTTATCTGCTTGATTTGCTATTTCTGGGTTTGTTGGAATTCTGCTGTTTTCTGGTCTGTATCTCACTTTTTGCTCTTCCTTTCCCTTCCATGTCACCCTTTTCACCTGTCACTCATTCCATCTTTTTCTCTTTCTCAAGTTGCATATTCACTTCAACTCCTGTCCCTCAACCAGCTGGCCCCTCATAGTTGTAATAGATAAATATTCATACTTCTGAGTTAGAAATGAGAATAATCAGTCCTCTTTGAATGTTCTCCCAAGGTAGGGTTGGAAGCAACAGAAATGGGGCACCCCCTGGACCCCAGCCCCCCCCAAGCCAGCAGGGGGCACGGGGGGGGGGGGGGGGGCTGAATACCAAAAAAACAACCAAGAATGCTAGAGGCCTAGGGGGCAGGGACCATAACTAACCTGAGTTATTTAAAGAGATGGTTGTTACTATGAGTGTTGACTGAATTTTGTGAGTGTGGTGAGTTTTAGGTAGTGGGTGTTAATACTAGTCCTGTTGAGTAGGTTTTTCTCTATTGCCTAGCTTAGTGGTGACCATGGCATCAAAGTTGAATAGACTTTGAAGGGTTCAGGCTCTGGTGCTGTATTCCAGGAATAACTCCAATGTTTTGATCTCCAGTTGTTGGATTTGTTGCTTCAGTCCTGAGCACCAATAATCAGGGAGGAATAATTCAAATAAACACTTCTTGAACTCTTCCCAGGATTTGCCAAGGAAGCCAGTTGCTTTGTTGGCATTAAAGGATTGGAGATTGGTTTCCGCTATGAGATTGCTGATGATTCTGATCTTATCAGCCAGGTCAGTCATGTCTTTTGTCTTGAAAAATATTTGCACGCCATGGATCCAGCATAGGAATGATTCAGTCTCTTAGAAGGGACCACAGTAGGTGGGACCATCAGAATTACAGAATTTTTGAAGGTCCACCCAACCTGTTACTTGTTATCCTTGCTGAACAGCCACCTTGTTTTTTATTTTCATGGTCTGTGGGGAGAAGATCTTCCAGACAGCTGATACGGTCAGAATTAGCTTTTTGGGCCTCTTGAAACGCTGCTTGATGAACTTGGAGATCCTCAAGCACCTGATGACAATCTTCTTGGGCCTGAATAGAGATGGTCGAAGGGTATCCGTCGCGGATACCCGCTATCCCCTGGCGGATACCCGCCAGCGGGTGCGGATGGCCCCTTTTCCGCAAAACACTGGCGGGTATCCGGGTATCCCAAAGGATACCCGAGGCCAGAAGGGTAGATGGCCGGCTGGGTCCCTTGCCGGCCCTTTAAAGGGCAGGTATCTGAGGATACCCGCTCGGATACCCGCTAAGGCGGGGGGATACCCGCTGGCGGATGCGGATGCGGGTGCGGATGCCGGTTTCCCTAGAAAAAGCAGCCGGATATCCGGATGCGAAGCGGCCATCTCTAGGCCTGAACAATTGATGTATGTTGGATCTTGAGTACGGCTTTGGACCATTCTTTGGCTGTGATCAATTTGGATGTGTCAGCCAAAGTCCAATTTGATTTGGTTGTCTGCTCTTGGCCTGCAGGTGTGGTAGTTGTATCAGACATTGTTATAGATTCTGAAAGATTGCCAGTGGTTGTTGACAAGGGAAGGAGTGTGATTGATTGGGAGGCTTTTTAGGATAGTCGTTTTTTGGTGTTATTGGCTTGGATGATTACTTCAGGGTCAGAGAGGGGAAGGAGATTCTTGGCTTTTGAGTTCCTTTAAGTTGTCATTCACTAATAACAACACAGCACTCTGAATTGCCTTAAGAGAAAAAAATTGACAGAAACATTTCAAAGCATTGTGACAAAATGGAGCGGGTATGGACAGAACAGATGTAACAGATTTGAGGGAACAGAACGGTTGTATTGGAAATAGGAACAGAGCTTTGGATCAGAACGGAAAGGTTGAATTGGAACAGGATTGGCTAGCCGGATCAGAACAGAGTTTTGTTTGATTTTATTTTGTGTTTGGGAATGGAAAAAAAGTGTAAGGACTTGATTCGTACTTCACTAAATGAGCTGAGAAAGACATAGATTGAACTGGCTATCTAGCCTAGGGAGGTTCTAGGACCAAACACAGTGGGGTTGGATTACTCTGACTGGCTCAGAGAGAAGATAGGGGATCAGTTCTCTCTTGCAAACTAGATGAACAATATACAAAAAAGAAATGAAAAGAATCAAAATGAAAGAAAGACTTACCTGAC